GCTATTCCCGCAGGTAGGGCAGTGAACGAAATGAAATGTGCATAGCTGATTTCTGCTGAGATCTTTCAACAAATTTTAGCAGCCAAGACCAATGAATTGCCTTGTATTCCAATGACCTACTAGTTGGATGCAGTAATGACGTCTGTTGATATGCTAATTGCCATAATAATGAGTGACACCCAGTATGCACTACCAAATAGTGTCTATCACATTTCTACTTTTAATCATATACCTGTCTTTTTTCTGAAGCTTTTTTTTCTCTTTTTCCTGGTCAAAATGGCCTCTAATGATAATCTTAAAAATAGGTAACTCAGTTTTTTTTGGGAAAAATGTCTTATAAAGTGGAAGGAGAAAATTAACAGGGGATGTAGGTTAGATATCTCAATGATGACAGTGATTTGTGGCCTGAAGTGATCTTGTAAACTGCAGAGAATCAAACTGATGGTAGAAGACAGCAGAAACAAAAAGAGCAACTTGTATTATTTGGTCTATCTGAAGAATTTCCATAAATGCCCGTGGGAATTTTGCACAAACCTCGAGGGGGAAAACATGACCCACCGATTCCAAGATGTAACCCTGTTATGCTAAGTATTTCTTAAAACTCTGCTTCAGCGCTTGACATTGAATCCATGCTGAGGATTTTACTTTTTTAAATTAGATCTGCTGTCTTACATTTTAATACAGAGAGGCATCATTCCAGATATATTTACACGTCAGAATAATTCCCAACAGATCTTGACATTATATAGTGTTGTAAGCACTATAGTACTTTATATAGTGTTGTAAGCTTAGAAATGACTTAAACAAGCTTTCAGGGATGGTTTGATTTTTACTGCTCTGCATTTAGAAAAGTCACAATCTAAGCACTGGAACAGGCTACCCAGAGAGGTTGTGGACTCTCCATCCTTGGAGGGTTTTATAGACAAAGCCTTGGCTGGGATGATGTAGTTTGGGGCTGGTCCTGCTTGGAGCAGGGGGTTGGACTAGATGTGACCCCCTTGAGGTCCCTATTTTCTATCATTCTGTTGAAATCCTGTCTCGCAAGTTTGCATTTCACAGTGTTTCATTTTGAACAAAGTTTTACAATAACATAAATTGCTACTGCCCATAGTTTACATTTATAATAGGAGCTACAAGAATAACTTAGCTAGGGTGAAGTTTTTTGCTGTTTTAATGTTCTTTAGTTAGGTTTCCAGCTACTGTTTCCAGCTTGCTCATCTGTTGTGTTACAGGTGTGAGGGCCTGGTTAAGTTCTTTAAGCAGTTACTGAATGGTAGTAAGAGTAGTGCCGTGCCTTAGATGTCATCTAACACAAGTTCACGTATTAAATGAACAAATGATAAGTCTAATATCGGGTTTAAACATAACAGGTAAAGACAAACCGAGTACCTTGACCTTTATACCTGCATGTAAGTAGCGTGTTTAAAAATAATAATAAAAGGGATATCCTTCCATGGTATTACCCACTGCATTGATGACAGTCCTGTGTTGCCATTTTGTAAGTTTATGTAGATAAAGAGAGGGAAATTCAGCCTAAACCATGTCCAAATGCTTATGAAATGGGCCTGTTATATACATGCATTCCCTTTTATGAGAATAGTGCTTGGTTAATGGTTCAATAATTAAAGGAGTTTACATTTTAAAGACTCCAGCGTTTAATTGGTTGAATATTAATCACCGATCATTTTCATTTCTGTTGTGATATGCAAATTCTTGATGTCTCAGCTGCATTTGTTTTCAGGTATCAGTCGATCCGCATAATGCAACATAACATCCTACAATTATTTCAATTAGAGGCAAGCAGCCTTCAGAGCATATTTGAGTTCATTTCTCTAAATGAAGGAGTTGCTGCTTGCCTTCCCTGATAGTAATGCCCAGAACTGCCGCTCAACACTGATCGCTGTGCAATATATAAACTCCTTTTTTCTCTGCCTCTGACTGAATTATGCTGGCATTTCTTGCAAAGGACAAATAGTTCAACTTGCCTGGTAAGATTTCATCTGGTGAATGGCTGCCTCTGCCTTCCAAAATGTGTCACCTTGTTTGGAGTATTCATTGCCACTTTAAATTATATTGTGAAATGTAAAGTAAATGGGAGTTTGTAATGAGCAGAATCTGTTTTGCACAAGTGCATAACATTCAAGGGTTGGGTTGGTTTGGTGCCCCCCCCCCATCATACTGCAGCTGTTACCTAGGCAGAAGAAGAATTTCTCTTAACCAGGAAGAATGAGCTACATAAATATCTGTGTTGTCTTAGGAAAGGATTGGCTGGCATGTCCTTAAAGCGATGCTGTTTCATAACAGCATTCACATCAGATGCAGGAAATATTATCCTTTCTGCCCACTCAGTTTCAGCCCCTCAGTTTGCTGAAAGTGGGGGTTAAATTGTCACAGAGGATGGAAGAGGAAGGGGGGGGGAGGGATGGGTTTCTTCTCAAGAAGGATTCTGCCTTTTCCAGGAGGGGAGCTGAGCTGCTGCATGGATCCGGCTCCGGGGCTCCTTGCTAGGGGTTAGCTAGAGAGGCACAGGTCAGGGGGAGCTCCATGGCCAAGTCCCAGCAAATGCCTTCACTTGTAGCTGCCCCCCCCAGGCCGGGCAGCCCCGACGCCCCTCGCAGCGCAGGCAGGTAGCGGGGCTTGCAAGGACTCCCGGACCCTGCTCGGGGCGGGGGCAGGCCGGGC